AGTTCCCAGGCAGCCTTGAGATGCCTGAAGAACCAAACCACTCCACCTTCAACTTTTTCAAAGCCCACATGTACCAAGGAGTTTTAAAAAAGTAAACCAAAACTGATGTTTATATCTGCCTAAAGAACATAGCTATCAACAAAGCTCATTTAAGATACTTACAAGATTAGGTTAATTATCTTCAATGTAAAGTCAACAAAAGCAATCAAAGGAGGAAGTTCCATGGAAATGGTGTGCTTTGAGTGGGAAGAATAAGGTCTGGCTCGCTAAAACACCACTGTATGTTCTAGCTCCCCCATCTGCAAAGCAGCCCCTCCATATAGAAACAATGTCAGCCACAGATCTAACCTGACCTTTTTCTAGAAGGAACACTTTAAAAAAAGTAAAGCGGTGCCTGGGTGGCTCAGTCATTAAGCGTCCCCCTTCGGCTCAGGTCATGATCCCGGGGTCCTGGGATCGAGCCCCACATTGGGCTCCCTGCTCAGCGGGAAGCCTGCTTCTCCCTCTCCCACTCCCCCTGCTTGTGTTCCTGCTCTTGCTATCTCTCTCTCTGTCAAATAAATAAATAAAATCTTTAAAAAAAAAAAAAGGAAAAAAAACGGTAACATGAATATAAAAAATGTTTTATTTAATAGCCAATAAGCATATGAAAAGATACTCAACATCACTCAACATCAGGGAAACAAAAATCAAAACTACAATGAGAGATTAATTCACATGGATGATTACTATCAAAAGAGAAGAAAATGTTGGTAAGGATGTGGAGAAACTGGAACCCTTGTACACTGTTGGTGGGAATATAAATGCAAATATAAATGCAACCACTAGGGAAAACAGTATGGAGGTTCCTCAGAAAATTAAAAATAGAACTACCCTATGATCCCGTGATTCCCCAACTACATATATATTCAAAAGAAATACATGAAAAAATAATGAAAGTGTGATTTTGAGGAAATGTTTGCACATATCTGAAAGAAATGAAAGTATAATCTATGAGATGTTTGCACACTCACAGCCAAGAGATGGAAGAACCCAAGTGTCCACTGACGGATGAATGAATTAAAAAAGTGTGTTACATAAATACAGCGGAATATTATTCAGCTCTAAAAAGGAAGGAAAGGCTAATAATGATTAAGGATGAACCCTGACATTATGCTAAGTGAAAAAAACAGTCACGAAAAGATAAATACTGTCTAATTCCACTTATATGAGATATCTAGAACTGTCAAAATCATAGACACAGATAAAATGAAGGTTGCCAGGAGCTGGGAGGAGGGGAAATGGGGAGCTGACATTTAATGGGTATAATGTTTCAGTTCTAGAAGACAAAAAGTTCTGGGAGTGGGGTGCACAACTCTGTGAATATGCTTAACACTACTGAAGTGTACACTTAGAAATGATTAAGATGGTTAAATTTTAGGAATTTTTTACTGCAATAAAAAATGTTTTTTATTTAACCCAATATATTCAAAGTATCTCCACATATCATTAATATGAAAATGATATATTTTACATTCTTTTTTATGTACTAAGTCTTCAAACTTCCGTGTGAGCGGACACTAACAAGCACATCTCCATTTGGACTAGTTGCATCTTCAGTGCTCAGCACTTACCTGTGGCATCCCTACTGGGCTCGTGCTGAGCTAGACCTCACCTGTCACCCCCATATGACAAACATTATAGTTAGATCCAAATAACTAAAAATATTTTGGGGGGTGGGGTAGCACAGAGGGTCTTTTTCTTGCTACCAGACTTTTTTTGAAATCTTATTTGTCCTCGGTTGGCTCTATGAAAGACTGATGGGCAAGACTCGAAACTCTGAACATCTCCTGAGCATCTCCTCTTTGTCAGACCCTCATTAGGAGGGTCTAAGACATCGTGCCTCTCCTCAGAGGGCTCACAATCTAAAAGGTGGGTCAGACAATTACCAGCTCCAAGAGGCGTATGCCAAGATGTGGAGGAATACAAAGAACACAACTCCTATCTACGAACTCTTATGTTCCAGGGAACAAATATAAAGTTTAAGTCATTTGACACGTGGAAGTTGTTAATTAACTAGCTTTCACCCTGTTCACAATATTCACCAGCACATTCTGACCTTTCTCAACTCTTACTTCCAACTGCAATAACTACACCTTCAAAGTATCAGTTTGTGCAGAATTCAGTACAATTTGTATTAAAAACACATATGGCATAAGCACACTCACCAGAAAAGGCACTCAGAAACCTACACCTCAGTCAGTGATTTTTGACTAAAATAATCGGTTATTCACTAAGAGAGCAAAGGTCAAGTTAATCCACCCAGGGTACAAGGAGACTAAAATTTGGTTCGTAAAAGTGAAAAAAACAAAAAACAAAACCGCTGTTTCTCATGGAAAAATATAATATTGTTTGAACATATCCAGAAAAATAAGGGATATGGAGGAAAATATGAAGGCATTTCTAGTATAAACATCTACTTAATATACATCCCAAACAAGAATTTACTTTCTCGTTAGAACAAAGATGCAAGAACAGAACTGCAAGATCCACTGCTTTCTATCCCAACTCACTGAGCAGAAACTATTTTGTGAGTGAAGGAGCAGAAGCCCCAGGCAAAGGAGCACCTCTTTATAACCTCCCATTTGTGTTGCCCTGACTAAAACCAATCAGACTTCTTTGTGAAAAATGTATTTTGCAATAAATTATCAAAAGTCTCACTGAAGATCTTAATGGATATGGTTGAGTAAGGAACACTGAACAGGACTAGAAAGAGAAAAGAACCAAAATTTATCAACTCAGCATTTTTCAGTGGTCTTTAGGCATGGAACTATTAGAAGAATAACCAGGAAAAAAAGTTACAAACTACAAAGGCTGTCAATTTTATTCTACAGTTTAATAAAATTCATATCTGACTAAGTCTTCTCCAGTCCCCCATTCATCCCCCACCCCAATAAGCAAATCTCCCCAGAACTTAATACTGAAAACTTACCTTGGTGCACTAACTTCAGATAAACTCCTTACACCTTATCATTTCTTATCATTTAATCCTGTGCATTAAAGTCTCAGTTATCATGCCCATCTACTATAAAGTTACACCTCGGGATCCATGACTTGACTTCACAGGCATAAACATAACTTTGTTTAATAATTTAGATTGTGATCTCTAAAGCTTTACATCTGTCATCTTGAGTAACGGTGCTTACCTTATAATAAGCTCGCTAAACAGTATGTCACCATACATACCAAAACACACACACACACACACACACACACACAAACTAGGTCACCCACTATTCTTGAGTAACAAGAAAAGAGAAACTGTTTCTGTGCATTAAGCCACCACCTGTAGAGGTAGATTCATAGGTCTGCAGGGAAAAACTATAAGGCTTCCAAAGGATCCTTAAAATACATAAGTTTTTAAAAATAAACACCATAAAGCCCTATTCCCTCACTGAGTAAGCAAGAATGCTATAGGTTCATAAGAGTACTTACAATGGGCAGAAAAACATTTGCAAGCACCAACATCTAAGGTTTAAATGAATTCAGGAGGGTAGTAATAGCTAAAGTAATAGTAGCAATAAAACTTCAAGCTCCTTTCCCTAAGGAAGGATCCCAATAAAGTCTATCTCAGTTTTTAGGAGAAGACACCTTGCCAACATGCATAGCAACTGGTGTTTCTGCCATCCCTCCTTGCTATTTCCCAGGTTTGCCCAACCTGACAAGTGACCAATCCTCTGAGGTTCTAACTCTGTAACATGGGGACAGACCCACAACTCTATGAAGGTTGAGACTGAGGCCCACAGTACCTGCAAATACAAGATTTGTCACTGTGTTCCAACAGTCAAGTGTCTAGTCTGAGGACTCCGTTTTAGTTAGCCTTTGGGAAAAGTGTGATCTACACTGTAAGGGAATCTATACTGGATCCTTTAGGAATAATGCTGCCAACTTATTTATATCTCATTAATGCAGGAAGGAAGGGCTTATCTGTCCAAATGGTAAGATTCTGGTGAATCCTGACCAAGATACTTTCCAATGGGGGGCAAGAGTGATCTGAATGAACACAACAACACAGACGTATTCCCTAACCAAGGACACCAGAACTGAACATGCTCAAAGTCACATGCTAGGGGCTCAAGGGTCAAATCTAGCAAGCAGATGTTTTTATGTGGCTTGCAAAGTGCTTTCAAAGTTCTAAATTAATTGTCAGTGTCAAAACATCTTTGATGCCGGGATCTTTGGCACCAAAATCTGCACTCTTGGGTTATCTTGCACTGTACCATAGGAAAACCTACCACTCTGAGACCACACAGCCACAGATGGGGGGGGGGGGCAGTCCTAATGCAGAAAGTGCAAATGCTCCCTAATCTGCCACAGTCCCCACCAGGTCAGCTCCCTCACGTTCCTGCCAGATTTTCCTGGTTCAGACCCTAAAATGGTCTTTAATCCCTAAAACAGATACCCACAATCTAATCTTATTAGTACCATATCCAAAACCTCTGAGCAAACAAAAAATCAGCCCAAAGAGGAATCTGAGTAGAAAACAACCCATTTTTCTGGTTCTCTACTGGTAATGCCTTGATGAACCAGATCACTTTCTAAAAATATCATTTTTGAAAACGATTAACTTGTCTCATCTTTCTTCATACATCTGGTTATGTTTTTAAGCTATTTGCTGTATTTGACTAAGTCCCCTTCAAGCACAGTATCATTGATAAGTAAGTCTTAGTGGTTAGAACAATACATACACTTTAAGGAAGGCAGGCAGCAAGGATTCCAGCTTCACTGCTCAACAGGCCTATACCAGGTACATTTTATTGCTGCCACTAAACTTGGTAATGTAAAAAAAAAAATAATGTTGGTTTGATGTCTCACGTGACACATCCTCCATTCCCATGAAAATATGGACTACATCAGTAAAAGGATTCTAAAAGGGAGTTTAGTTTAAATGCTACACACAGCCTTTAAACAGATATTCAAACAACCACACATTAACCACCTCTTACCCAGGCATTGCTTACCCATTGCACTGAGGTAATGGTTGAAGGCCTGGCAAGGAGGACTTGGGGTTTGTGTTGATTTGTCACAACTCATGGGTGCCGGGCTCCTGTCTGTGTCAAAAGAGAAATACCCACTGGAGGATCGAGACAGCAGGGAGGATCTTCTCACAAAGATGAAAAGCGGGGATCTGGTAGCAAAAGGGCCGGGGCTGGCTGGTGGGGCCAGCGGGCCCTGAGGGCTGCCTTGGGGGCAGCGGTCCCCTTCGCCTTCAGGATTACCTTGCTGCTCTGTCTGTAGAGAGGTAGGGGCCCCAGGCCTGAGCTGAGGAGGCCTCTCAGCAGGCTGCAATTGTCCACCTTCTCTGTCACACTCAGAACTTACATCTGAAGGTTGCTTTGCCATTTGGTCTTTTTTTCTGCAAGTAAAATAAAAACTAAGATTATCTTCAGCAAAATAACAATTACAACAAATAACTAAATTTTGCCAACTTTCGCTGATTTCTTCACGATTTTTAGACTACCAAATACTTTAACATTAAGTCGTTAGTTCATATATTTCTCTATCTTTCAAATAAGAATAAAAACACACCTCAAATAACAAAGGCACCTCTATCTTTGCGTGGGGGGGGAGGTGAAGGGGTAGGACTAAACTTCCTGCCACCAAAAAAAACACAATCAGAACGTCGATGTGAGACCGGTGCTGTAACACACACACACACACACACACACACACAAGTTTTTAGGAGAAGCATCTTGTGTTAAGTCCATTCCCATGTGGTCTTTGCTCAGAGCCGACTTGAATAAGTCGGAAACTCCCAGCGGGCTCTGATTTCCCGGGATCAGATACTGCGCTGGAGCACAGGAGCGGGCGCAGATGCAGCGATTGCAGGCGGCTGGCCGCGTTCCCCACTCCGGCCCCATTGTTCTGCCGAAAGTGCTGAGGGCAGCAAGTCTGGGGAAGGTTTGGCAAGGGCCGTCAGTCGTAGTAAGTGCGTCACAATAGAGTTTGTAACTTGGAGCGCGGCTCGGCCGGGCTCGGGCGCTCCCCGCCCGCGGTCCCTCCCGCTCCCAGCCCGCGCGCCCCTTCTTCCGCAGGGTTTAGCGCGCCGCACCGAACCCGGCAGAACTTCGGAATGCACCCACACTGTGAGGTGCACACCTCCAAATGGGGGGGGTCTCCCCAAAGCCGTCCCCGGGCGCCCCCTGCAAAGTCCCCAAGTAACTCCACACGCTAGGCGAAACCGGGGCGCGCGGCTCCTTCACCCCACTGACCCTCCCCTGTGAAGGCAATCAGGCCGAAACTCACGTCCGCCCCTTCCCTTCCGATCGTCGCGTCCCGGCCCGGGCCCCGCGGCGTCCCGCGCGCGTCCTTCGCCGACCCGGAGCCCCCTGACCGTCAGCACCAAGGAAGCGCGGGAGACAAAGCCCAGGACTCCGGTTCAGAGACCCGGGGGCAGCGCAGAGCCGGCCTCTGGCCGCCCGCCCGCCGCCGCGCTCCGCCGGGCAGCCGAGGGCTCCGCGCGCCGCGCCTCTGGCCCGCGCTGCCCCGGCCGCCGCCGCCGGGAACATCCTCCGCCTCCTCCCGCTCCTCCCCTCGCGCACTGCGCCCGCCGCCGCCGCCGGCACCGCCGACCTCCCCGCGCCGCTGGCGCCGGGTGCCCGCGCTCCCAATTGGCCCTCGCGCGGTCGCTCCGCGCCACAGCCAATAGCCGCCGCCGGCGGGGGCGGCGCCTACGGGTCAGGCAGCCAAAGGCGAGGCGATTGTTGACAAACTCGCCTCCGAAGGCCGCCCCGGCCGCGACCGCGGCGGGAGTCTCGCGGACCCGAGCTGCCCCGGCTCCCCCAGCCCGCCCCGCCTCTGTGTCCGCCGGACGCCGCGCGAGCCTCGGCGGCTCCCACCGCCCCAAGTGGCTGGTCACCTCGAGACAAAGCAGGAGTCTCGCTGTCTCTGCACCCGCAGGGCCGTTCTCCGACCCCAGTCCGGGTGGGCTGAAGACCCAAAGGCCGTCCCTTCCCTTAGCTGCAGCACCCACCTTCCTCCACAAATTCCTCCTTTTTTCTCCCCGTACGCAGCCGACACGCTCCAAATCTAAGCGGCCACCACTGGCCACGGGCACGCACAACTGCGCGCACCCGTGACCACCAAAGACAACCAACACATCCACACCCCTGTCCCCCGCGGCCGACGGGTCTTCCATTACTAGCACGAACACCGAGTAACAGGTCCCCGAGGGCACCGCACCGCCCGCCAGCACCGAGAGGGAGTCGGGGTGCCCAAGTCTCTACGACAGCCCGGCCCCACGGATGGAGCATATTCTGCTTCCCGAGGCTCGTCCACCGCGTGTCCCCGGCAGTCGGAGGAGGCCCTCGGACTCTCAATGTCTATGGATCGTGCTGCTGGTATCGTCTGCAGCGCACCCGCAGCCCGGGCAGGCACCCGCAGCCCGAGAGAGCGAACGCAGCAGCTGCCCTAAAACCTCGGCCTGAATGGGTACAAGGAAAACGAGTCTCGTCAAATAACCACCGCAGTTCCGCAAATCCTCCGCAACGGGCCCGAGCACCCGAGAAAAGCCAAGCCGCCAGACTAGCTCGTACCGCGCGGCCGCTACTTGGGGGTCTCCGGGACAGGGCGGCGAGACCTGCCGGCCGGTCGCGCAGCCCAGTATCGTGGAGCCGGGCCGCAGCTCCCGGGACAGCGCGGAGAGCACGCGTTGCCTTTCCCAGCTGACCCTGAGAAGCTTTTCCACTCCTTCGCGCGGAATCCCGGGCCGAACCGCACGTCGGCCAAGTGCCGTTAGCCTTTGCACGGACGACCCCTCACCAAACTGGACTTGCGCGGGGGAGGGAACCCAACCCGCCTGATCGCTGCCTCCCGCCCAGCGACAAGTGGGACGGGTACGTGCATCTCTTGCCTGCACGTGCTCGGGAAGGGAACAGGAGGTGGAGCCGAGGTGGCTCCGGCGCTTGTCTTCCGTCGGCACCCGGCCCGCTCCCGGGGATTCGGAGGTATTTACCTTGCGTTTCTCAGTCCGAGAGTCAGAGTCAGACATTGGGGGGACCAGGGCCAGGGAAAGGGCGCCGAGGGGGTGGCGGCGGGAGCGGGACGAAGCGAGCAGCCCGCGGCGATGCTGGCCGCAGTTGGGCTGGGGCGCGCAGGGTGACTGTGAGAATCCGGTGGCAGTGGTGGCGGCGGCGACGCAAGACGGAGCGGTTTCACAAGACCAAGACCTGGAGGCTGCGCGGAGCGAAGTGAAACCTGCACAGCCCTGCAGCTCAACTCAGACTGGCGGCCCAGGGCCCTCACCCAATCACCGCGAGCTCCGCCCCCTCTAAGTCCCGCCCCGGCGCGCGGGCAAGCACGCCCCGCCCTGCCGCGCCGTAGCCGCAGCCGCTGGCGCTTTCAGGCTCCAACAGGTAAAGGCGGGGGTGGCCCGGCCGGGTTCCCCCGCGCGCGCCGCGGGCCCTGCCCCAGCTGAGCGTGTTTACTGGAGTGACTAGTGCTGCTGGTGGCTTGTGCGCACCCACTCCTCTCCCCCCGCCCCAAAGTGTACCCTTGCCTCTCCCCCATCCAGCAGGGGCCACTGCGTGCGCTTGGAACAGAGGGGGCGCTCCGGGCACACTGAACCAGGCCGAGCGGCCGCCGCCTGCGGAAAGCCTCAGGAGGCGCCCCTGAGCCCTTGATCGGCTTCGGGAATTTCTCAGCCGCTCTGTGGCAGGCGTGGGGACTAGGTTGATCCTCAAGAACGCCTGGGTCCAAGGTTGGGCAGCGAGTGTCGGAGCTCTCCTCTCTCCCAGAGTCTGGGGTACTGGGTGAGACCCCGATGTGCAGGGCTGCTCATCCTCTTCCTCCGCCCTCGCCTCATGCGGTAGTCTTAGGCACCCTCCTCATGCCACCTGGCAGGGGCACCTAGCTTTTCCGCAGCGCCGAGCCTCCGGTGGGAGGCAGAGCCCTTAGTGGGGAGAGTGGAGAAAAAGGCAAGAAGTGGATCCCCGGAGGCGTCTGTTCCGCAGCCCCGGTGCGAGGCAGGAAGGGATTGCGTGCGGAGCAGGTAAAATAGGGAAATGAAAAAAGAACTCGAAAAAAAAAAAAAGACCCAGAGGAATCTCGGCCTTCAGGTGGGAGAGAAGATGATACCTCCGCTGGGTCGGGATCCTAGAGATTGGTTGGGCTTTCAGAGAACCACCCGCGAGGCGCTCCGAGGCCAGTGAAGGCGCGCGCGCAGGGGAGTGGTGTGGGGAGCGAAGTACCCCCCCTTCTCCCTGCGCGCCCCCACCCCCTTTCTCCTTGGTGCCCGCGGCCTCACTCCCACTCCTGCTCCGGGGACTGGTACTCCTCTGGGTCCGCATCCTCATGTGTTCTAATGTGGGTCCTAAGTCCCCACCCTTACCCCCTCCTGCGCTCCCCTGGCTAGGAGACAGCCGGGGCCGGGGAGTGGGGGCAAGGTCGGTCGGGAGATGGAACATCCTGTCACGGGGGAGAGCTGGTTAGATGGAATAAAGAAACCCAAGTTAAGGATCCCCTAAAGTCACTCCCTCCCAGGAACCAAGAAGGAAGGGTCCTCAGTTGCAGAGGAGCAAATCAGCGAGGCGTTGTTCCGCTGTTGGCCACCTCGGTCAGTGTTTTATGCTGCATAAGCAGGTATGGAACGTCGGGAAGACAGCACAGCCCCTGGTTAAACAATTCTCAGCGCATCCTCTGGCGAGTCCTGAGCGAAGTGTAGGAGGCCAGGGGTTCCTGGGGACGGACGCCGGGTTCTGCCCCGGGATTTCGTTGCAGGAGGGAAAGGACAAGGTCGTGGACGCGGCGAAGTGCACGCTGAGGCTGGATGTCTACCCTGACGGTGTCTCGGAGCGGTTGCCCTCGACCTTAGGTGGGCACGGGCGAACTCTAAGCCTTAGCTGCCCGGCCTAGCACCCGGGGGGAAAACAACAGAACGGCACCGGCTGGGAGCCCCAAACCCGCCCAAGTGCTCGGAGCTCTCCGTGGGGTTGGGCGATGCAGACAGGGACAGGAAAAGAACCACGCAGAAGAAAACCCTAGTGGTTGTCATCTGGTCTTGTGCAGCTCCGCCGCCCCCGCGTCGTCTGCTTTAGCGACCCTGTGAACACTTTAAAAAACAAAGGCGTCAGGGAGAGCAACCGGTTAAGCACTCATTTTGGGGCACAAGGAGGAGGTCGGCTCGGAGTCAGGCAACCCAAGCTGTGCTGGGGAGCTTTCGCAGAGCTCTCCGCGGCGGGTGACCTCTAGCCCTTCCCGCCCTCTCCCGCAGGGTCCGGAGGTCCTCTGGGCCCCATACCGGGCCACAGCCCAGAAAAGGGACAGTGTGAAAAGGGCAGTTGGGCGTTAGATCTCTGCTCCGGTCCTGGATGTCGCCCTCGCGGACTCGAGCAGAACTGTGCTCACTCCTGCCTCTGCCACGAGATGTGGAGCGGGAGTAAGGAGGATGGCTGGGGCTGAGAGAAAGGTGCAAAACTGAAGTGGGGCAATCGGGATCTGAGAAATGGGATGGGAAATCTACGGCCCTCGCCTGGGACCACAGGCGTTGCCTGCGTGGTCTCTCCGAGTTCCGAAATCAACTTACTGCAGTGTGCTGCCCTAGCCCACCTTCCCATCGGCAAGGAGCCCGAGCGCCTTCCCATCAGTTAATGTCTTTATTAAACTTTGTTATCTATGCTCTTCTAAAGAACAGATTACAATTTCATATGGTAAAAGTATTTTCCTCACCTTGTCTTACGGTCCGGAAGCCGCCTGCCTGGGAGGACAAGCCGGAGTTCGCGCTCTGCCGAGAGCAAAACTTCAGGCGCACACTCCCCTTTCCCAGTCTGTGCGTTTCCTCTAACACCCCAAGGCGTTCTGATTCACTGGAGAAGCATCGCTTGCTGAACTGAAACTTTGCCCGCGAGTGTTTTTTATGCTTTGATTTTTTTTTTCACGCAGCACCAATACGTTTTCCAAAATCACTGTAAATCTGAGTCATCGCTGACCGCGGGAGACCTTTGGTGGCACCCGGGTGTGGGGCGCGTTCGCAGGGGAGTCCAGTGTCTAGGGAGATCCAGCGCGGAAGCTGGGAGAGGTTGCTGCCGGCAGGCGGGGTTACATAATAAAGCCCCGTGTTCCGGGCTGCCGCCTGGCTCCCTTTCCCAACAGCCCATCCCGCATCTCGCCAGCCTCAGTGAGAACCCTGCCTGCTCTGCGACCCAAATCCCCGAGGGCCGAGGCCCAGCGCATGCCAGGCCGGCCTTGGCCCCAGTTCCAGGCGTTAGAGAAGCTGGTGTCGTGGCAGCTGCGAGCGAGCCACCACCCTTCGCACCACGCCCGCTATAACTTGGCTTCCAGCTTGGGCGGCTGAAAGCGCGCCCCTTCTCGGGGCTCGGGTTGCAGCGGTGCTGGGTAGAAGGCCCAGGCGGCCTGCGCGTTGGTGATTCCTGCGATTGGTGCGTGGAGGGAGGTGTGTGGAATGTTAAAGGCAGAGATCACCTTCAGGGCATCATCCTTCACCGAGTCGCACAAATCCAGCAACTGCAAAACAACACAAAGTGACAGGTCAGATGCTGGCTCACTTACAGCATGGGGCGTCATTGGCTTTGCGCCAACTCCCAAGCACCCCACAGGTAGCCACTGGGGAAACTAGTTTCCCTTTGGATTTCCTGGGACCCAGGTGGGTGGAGGCCGTTGGTCTTGAATAACCTTCACATACCTTATCATCTTAGAAATGCCTAAACCTGTGACACCTGTCTGGCAGAAGCCCGTTTCTTCCAAACAGGGTTGGGTCCGGGTCCAAATTAGATGGAAATCTCAAGACCGAGGACTGTGAGAATTTATCAACATTACCCCTTGCCAGCCCTGCTCTCCCCTCTCCAGTCCCCATCATTTTCCTCCTCTTCACCTCTGGAGTGCCTGGGGTGCCACCCTCTGGCGTGCAGAGGTAACTGAACAGGAAGAGCATCAGACAGGTGAACCAGTGGAGACATGCCCCAGTTCTCCCCAGACTAGCACCTTCCCACCTCTGGCAGCAGGCCATGGTTCCTGAAATGCACGCACAGTGGGACTGGGGATACTGAGACCAAGCACTGGCATCTCTGTGCACCTTCCACTTGGCTGCTACAGGAAATCAACCTGCAGTTAAAGAGAACACCAAGGAACCCAGCAGATACCCTCCTGTGTTTTGATAACCATTGGAGGGCACAGATAAGACATCTCAGCAGAAGGGTGGGGGAGACATAAGCTAGTGATTTTGGAGAAGGTGCGTTGGGTGTATTTGAATTTCATTTTCCGTGGTTTAGATGCCCATGCATTTTTTTTTTATTCCCAGAGGGAAAAAAAGCTACCAAAAATAATAGATTGTTTTTTCTAAAACTCAACAAGGACAAGACAGAGGGACTGCTTTCCTTTCCCATAACCAGCTGCACACTTTATTTTTCAAGTTTTCAGCCAGCCATAAATTTCTTTCACTCACCAAATCACAGCCCCCAGGTTTTCATGGTTTATTTTTATGGTCTTAAAAACATCACTTAACAACAGCCCCACCTTTCCTGCCCTCACAGTGGTGGTCATTACTGAGCTACACTAAAGCTGTAAAGAGCACAGTTCCCTTAAAGTAGACCAAAATGCCATTTCAGGTATTCAGAGACGATAGGGGGTCCCCAAAACAGGGGCAGGTGTAGGGTAGGGGAAGAGCATGAATTTTAATAGTCTAACAACACATCTTTCTCTAAATGTGCTCTATTACATCAGTAATTTCTAATGAAAACCTTCATTCTTTACACACTGTGGTTAAGCGTCATAAAATCAGTAGTGAAAAGACTTTGATCATATTTGCAAGATGCACTATGATGAACTTTCACTGACCAAGATTTCAAAGTTTGTAATTAATACTCGACAAATCCCTGACTAATCTGTCAACTCTCAACGTCTTTAACTACACACTTCAGAACCATGAGATGGTGTACAAGTCCTTAAAGCTTCTACATATTGTAATTTCATTATTCAAGATAACTTTCCCTTTAGGTTTGCATCATGAAACTCAACCAATTTTTGTCATATATTCAACAATGGCGGAGATTCAGTTATTTGAGCGTTATGTGGAAGAGAATGTGGGTTTGGTCTGTCCAAACACAGAACAAGCACCCAGAGATAGAAATTGCAGGAGGCAGAGTTCTGTTCAATATTTTTACAACTTGAAAAATAAGAATAAAGTAGATTTTTAAAAAAGGATCCAATGGCAGAAGAAGAAGAGGGTTTCCTTTCTCGTAAGTGTTCAGGGAGTGACTCTTTCCAATGACACTCTAAAGAGGAATGCTGCATGGAAGGGGAAAGCCATGCGTTGACTGCTAAGATTCTTTGTAATCTTAAAATTCTGACGCTGTCTCAAATCCTCTGTGCTTACTCCATTTGTGACAGGCTGCAGCAGGCCGATTAGTGTCCAGGTCCAAGGATCATGCATCACTCCTTATATGTAACAAGTGTGACTCTGATTCCAGGTGTTCTCTCACCTCTGCCTGTGAGGATGATCATTATTATTATTGGCTTTCACTTACAAAGTGCAGTACATACTGGAGTCCTATCCTATGGTACAGATTGTGCTGGGCATGGGAGATTTAGTGATGCACACTGTGGACATAGGCCTCCTGTATCAAGGAGATGATGTTAAGAATTTTAAAGACTACAAACAGGATCCTCTTAATACAAAATAAACTTAGGTAGCTATCATAGAATTTATTATCATATATACAGTAATTTTTTTTTTTTAACCAGGGAGCCCCATAGGATGAAGCAAAGCACAGGCAGACCTCAGAGATATTGCAGGTTCAGTTCCAGACCATGACTATGAAGCAAATATTGCAATAAAATGAGTCAAAGGAACTTTTTGGTTTCCCAATGCATCCAAAAGTTATGTTTACACTACAGTGTAGTCTGTTGAGTGTGTGTTGGCATTATGTCTCAAAAGCAATGTACATACATTAATTAAAAAATAGTTTGTTGCTAAAAAATGTTAACCATCATCTGAGCTTTCAGCTAGTCATACTCACTGATCACAGATCACCATAACAAATATAATAATGAAAAAGTTTGAAATATTACGAGAATTACCAAAATGTGACACAGAGACACAAAGTGAGAAAATGCTGTTGGAAAAATGGCATCGATAGACTTGCTTAACACTGGGTTGTCACAAACCTTCAATTTGTAAAAAATGCATTATCTAGGAAGCACAATAAAACAACGTATGGCTGTACTATTAAATTTTAGTTTTATTACCAAACATATACCCACATGATATAAGCACAAAAACAGTGCATATTGTAGCCTCCCCCTCGCCCCCCCACCCCCGCCCCATTTTGCCAGTATGTGACCCAACTGTGCTGGACAAAGCATCCCAAGCCCACCCATCTCATAACAAAGAAAACTCATCAGCTTTGGAGGATACACCAATGAATAGGTGCCCTTTAAAAATAAAAGAGCATGAACAAAGTTACACATTCTTATAGAAAAATTGTATTATAGAAAAAATTTAAAGGACAGATGCAAAGCATTGGCAGTATTGCTCTAAAAATAATAAGGACATAAGATCCACTAGAACTATCCAGGGAGTGGGATTTGAGAATGTCTACTTGGAAGAAAGTGGACGCACTCAACACTCAAGGGACAGTGGGCGGACAGGTTAGTATGTGGATTTTCCGGGGTAAATTTATAACATCAATTTGGCTTCCCCGCCCCCACCTAGTTACAGCAGGTTCTCTCTTTTTTTTTCCCCTCTTTATCATCCCAGCATTATCCTTATTTCAGTGGGGAGACTAGGATGGTCTAAAATGGACAGTATCTAAGCTTTACAGCCTTCTAAACAAAACCTGCTTTTCCTTGTGTTGGTGTTAAGTATTCAATAGATGCCCCAGGTGTGAGGTGTCCAGTGAACTTGCAGCCACACCCCAGCTATTCCTAAGACCCTGTGCAGAAGGTTTTCCTGACTCTTCCCATGTTCCCCACCTCTGTTCCCAGCGACCTCCTGCTGTTCTCTGGGTCAAATCCCTTACCCCAACTTGACAGGTCTCTCAATTAGCCCCTTTCTTGCTTGGGCATTGTGATGAGTCTTTTTCTCCATCCCTTGAATCTGGGCTGCCTTGTGACTTGTCTTGACCAATACAATGTGGAGAAAGTGACACTGTGTAAATTCCAGAGCTTAGGTCTCAAGAAGCCTTGCCATGCCCATTCTTGCTTCCTGGAACCTTGGGACCACTTGCTGTGTGGGTCTGGCCTGCTGGAGGATGCCCAAGGCCATGTGGAGAAGGACCACATGGTCAGCAGCCAGGCTCACTCTCAGATATGTGAGTAAGGCCATGTAGGACACCCTAGTCCTTTTGAACTCGAATGGCTGCAACCACAGGAGTGATCCTACCAAGGACTAGCCAACGAATGACCCAGATTGCCTACCCACAGAATTGCAAGATATACACAATTGCTTTTTTATGCCACTAAGTTTTAGGGTGATATGTTACATGGCAATAGGTAACTAAAACAGGTATCTTCCTTTTAAAATTCAAATTGCCATTCACGAGGTCATCTTCAGCTATACTTCTACCCTCTTAATTATCTGAGGACAATTCTACAATTACACAATTAAAGCAGTCAACAGAGAGGTGTGGCTCACTGATAGGCTTTACTGAAAGAATTTCAATTGTAGAAGAGTAGTTTATAAAGCCAATGACTGTCCAGGTGGTGGGGTATCTGGGAGAGAATGTGAATGGCAGGCTGGAAGTCTCACTGCAATCCGCCACCCACCCCACTTTCCTAATCTGGTTTAGAAGGCAAATCACCAGGACTTGCCTTATAACTATCTGCCCTGCCTTCATCATCTCTACAGGGGGCTTTAGCGTCCAATAAAAATACTCAGTAACATCAAAGTGTCAAGGATGGGGGGGAAAGGCAGAAAATATTTGCAACTGGGGATTCCAAGTCTTGTAAATGTTTAGGTTCTCCTGCACCATTAGAAGAGAGAAACAGGGGCGCCTGGGTGGCTCGGATGGTTACGTGTCTGCCTTCAGCTCAGGTCATGATCCCAGGGTCCTGGGATCAAGTCCCGCATCGGGCTCCTTGCTCAGCAGGGAGTCTGCTTCTCCCTCTCCCTCTGCCTCTCCCCCTGCTTGGGCTCTCTCTGTCTCTCTCGCAAATGAATAAATAAAATCTTTAAAAAAAAAAAAAAAGAAGAAGAGAGAAACAGATGGGGCCTGGTCAGACCTAACCAGAGTCAGCTGGTGTGATGGAATGGACTGGCACATATCTATCACTTTACTTCATGGGACTGTAGTGTTTCCCTGCTCCCAGAGATTTCTCAAATAAGGAAGGCCAACAGGGGTCCATCTCCAAGGCATGGAGTCTGTCTACTATAAAGTGTGGGTTAGAGGTCTGACCTCAAAATAGTTGGGAGGATGCAGTGAGGTAATTATGTGAAGGCCACACTGTAAGCTGCAAAAGGCAGCAAAATAGAGTTGTTGGCTCTTGATCCCCCAAATACCATCATTAGG